GTTTATAAACCATACAAGAAGCGGCGTACGAACCACACTCACCCACACCTTCCTGGTTGCGGAAGTGGTCACCGATTCGATTGGGCATAAAGATGTAATGGGCACCTGTGATATTTTACCTCGTCCAAAGGGTATATGATCCGATGAACTGGACACCGGGCCCCAATGGGCTGCGGTTCTCACATACCGCCTCGCTACCTTATGGGTCAGGCTTTGGCTAGTCGAAGGCTCCCGTTGTGGATTCCTCAAGAATATTCACCTGCCTTGGCCCAGGCATCACGGCAGTATTCTGGCCACAAACACATTATGGAACTTTTTATAAAGATGATTATACTATGATATTTTGGCACACAGTCTGAATTCAGACGTGTGTGAAATACACAGACACAATCTGTGCTCAGTAGGTACACAATCCAGGCTTAGTTGTGGTAACAATACACTGTAATAAACTTTTGTTTCGTTGCGTTTACAACGGAAGCACGATAAAATCAATATTCCGGAAAAAGGCCATACTCGAATGGAGGCTTTCAGATAAAAACTGGAAATAGGGATTTTGATGCGATGTCGTTTGATACTGGATTCAATACGGCACGTTCAATGACGGTACGAGAGATAAGGGCAATATCATACAGTGTAAACGTGAAGTAGAATGTTGAATAACAATCCGAATAGGGTATCGAACTGAAAACCCTTCGTGCTCGGGTTCGAATTTCAGTTTATTTGGTGGGTGTGCATCACCTGTGACTCATCAAAAGCTTTTCAGGGATGAATAAAAAACATTGTTTCTAATTCAGAAATAAATTATCGTATTTCACTTGAGTAAAGGACGATTTGATTAAATTTCAAAGATTAATTCATTATGTATATAGCAAATGAAGCGTGAACTGAAAAGCTAGGAAGCATTAGACAGTTATTTCGACCTGCCTGGGTCTCGTCAGCAGTGCGCATCCATCGACCCAACTGGGGATGTCCCGGGTTTGATCCCTATCTTCGTCACTATTTTATTTGCACTAGTGCTGACGAAACTGAACGAGCAAGGTGTGTGAGTTATATTCCGCGAATATGAAATACTGTTTCAGCACGAAAATATATCTTGTAAACCCGGGGTGGGGGTTCGAGCCTGAACCCGTTCAACCGTGAAGATCATCAAACCACACATGAGTGACAGTAACAACCCGAGTTGATATCATATTTCATTTGAATAGAATATTTCCCGACTCATGTATCGCGATATTACTATATGCATAATTTTACCGGGGTTTACATGAACGTATGCCAGGTCAAAAAAATTCTGAGTCCGTCCATCAAGCCAATGAAATAAACAAAAAGTGTCCTCTGCCGGAATTAACTTGCTGCGAGGAGGGGGAGGCTTATGCAGAATACCACTATTATTAAAAGAAAAGTGTGACCTGATACTTAGGTTGGCAGTGCACATGACCGAACAGTAGTTAGCAGTCTATAGATAGATAGATAGATAGATAGATAGATAGATAGATAGATAGATAGATAGATAG